GAAACATCGATGAGAGAGATACATCGACCAGCTGCCTCCTGCACACTTCCTAATGGGGATGTGCCTGCAACCAAGGTACAGGCCTTTGACCGGAATCGAACCTGGGAACCTTTCAGTCTGCAGACCGACGCTCTATCCACTGAGCCAAACCGGTATCGGCTGCAACAAGTTTGTTAATCTTTTCGTGGTAATACAGTAGGTCCTTGGCTTACACTGGAGATCCCTTCCTATGGCGCTGCAAAGTAAAGCGATTTTCGCCTTAAGTTGGAACCCACCTATATAAGGACCTACGTCACTCACATGGAGCACATACACAGCAGTAATGAAGTGAAACAGAAAAGGGTCCTGAAGGGTCCTGGGTTCAATTTCAGCCAAGGGCACATGCCTGGGTTGCAGGCTGGATCCCCACTAGGGGGCATACAAGAGGCAGCCCATCAATGATTCTCTCTTCATTGCTGTTTCTATTTCTCTCTCCCTCTCTGAAATCAATAAAAATATATTTAAAAAAAAAAAAAAAGAAATTTGAAAGGAAGATAACAATTCCTAACCTTTACTTGTGGTAAGTAAATAATTAAAAAAAACACAAAGCACATATGTACATATATTGAAATGATGGAACTTTTTTTAAAAAAATAAGTAAATGGGGCCGAGACCGGTTTGGCTCAATGGATAGAGCGTCAGCTTGGGGACTGAAGGGTTCCGGGTTCGATTCCGATCAAGGGCATGTACCTTGGTTGCGGGCATATCCCCAGTAGGGGGTGTGCAAGAGGCAGCTGATCGATGACTCTCATTGATGTTTCTAACTCTCTATCTCTCTCCCTTCCTCTCTGTACAAAATCAATAAAATATATTTAAAAAATAAATAAATAAATAAAAATAAGTAAATGGGAGATGGTGACATAACCACAAAACAATGTATGTCGAGTCCGACATAACCTGAGGACTGTCTGTAGGCAGCTCCAAATGGGGAGGATGGGCTGTATTTCCGGCTGAGTTCCCAGGTCCCCTGTGCTTTCTTTTATCAGAACACAATAATCACGGTTAACAGAGCATGATGCATATTTCTTACATGAGCTGCTCCACAGTATTCTATTTCTGCTCCTATTATATTGTCTTTGGTTGCGTTTGAAATAGAAGTTGAGTAGTTGCGACTAAGCCAGTATGGCTTACAAACGAAAATATTTACTATCTGGCCCTTTATAGAAAAAGTTTGCCAACCCCTGCTCTACACTTACCTCTCAGCATTCTCCATGTAGCCATCCCTGAAGTCCGTAACCGATCACCCTTTTCTCTTTGACCTGCTCAGACCACCCCTCCATGGGTGCTGTCATAGAACCAACTCCATCTTGGCATTTAACTGTTACTCTGATTGTCCTTTTACTTGTCTGGTGCAAGTGTTCACTGCTGAATCCTCAGCCACCGGCACAACCCCTGCCCTCCTTCCGTGCTTCATAAACATGTTTTGATAAATGAGCAGCATCCTAAAGAGATGGCAAGACTGGTTCCAACTTTCAAGAGCTTATAAAGGGAGGATAGTAATATAAACAATAAATTAACCTACAAGGAAGTCTGAAAAGGCACTAAAAAGTAGCATGCACTGTGCAGCATATCCAAGGAGAGATCATTCCACCTGGGGGAAGAAGTTCCTTCTTTATGAGAAAAGAGGGAAGAAACAAAATGGAGTCACCATGGTCAAGTTGCTAAATTTTAAAATCAATTAGGCTGAGGTCTGACAAGGCAATTCTGTTCTTGCTTTAACTAGCTTGGGAACTTAAATTTTTGAACTTTTCAGTTGTGCCTGGAGATAAATATATATATATATATATATATTGTTAATGATAGAATATCCAATCTAAGAAAAAGTTTATTTGAACCAAATAAGACAATTGCCAGGAAGCAAAATCTGAACAGATTGAGAAAACGCTCCAGAAAATAGCACTTTTGCAGCTTATTTTATACATTAGACTCAAAGGAAAAGCATAAGGAAGGTTACTGGAAATTCATCTGTGGTACATTAGGGAGGCAGGAGAAAGCAAAGTGGGGGAAGTCTTTGAGATTGGGTGAGAAGCAAAATGTACACATACTTCTTTTACATTGGTTGGGTACAGGATGGTTAATAATGAACATTCACAGCTCATAGAGATGGTAAAATGGAATTTTTGGACTAGAACCCGGATTCTTTGCCTGTAGGAGTCAAAGAATGAATCCACCGACAGAGGGTAGTAATAGAAAAGGTGGAGATTTATTGAAGAACAAGTACTGATTCCCATGGGAGGAAAGGGAAAGAGCCCATAGAATGGACCCCCACGTTGGGAGGGGAAAGGGTCCCACCGACTTCCTGTTTCCTTGGTTTATAAAGGCTATAGTTCCTATGTCCCAACACATCCTCTGATTGGTCAATATTCCCTTTCCAATTGGTTACTATAGAGACTCCTGAATCCCTCCTCCCTCATAGTCCTTCCAGTCCTTCTGGGCTTTCTTCCTCCTTCTTTATTTTGTAAATACAGACCTCATTTGGTTACCTCCAGTTCCCTTGTCTTTTGGAAATGTAACTGTGCCTGGCTTCCTTGTTTTATGGAAATGTACCTTCTCCCAATCTGTAGCCCTATATTTTTTCCATGGACCCCAATTCTAAAAATTCCCTAAGCCTGCCTATATTCCCCTAAAATTCCTGTTTCAATGGTATGCAGGGGAATAAGATAACTAGGAGGGGTTCTATGGTCTCATGCTCTGGTGCCCGGGGTGGTGCCTACAAAGGGATCTGGAAAAACAAACTACTCTGACATTTCCAAGGTATGTTATCTTAGATGCACAAAGGCAATAGACAGTTCCAAGGGTAAAGACTGACCTTTGTCAAGGAAGCTACAGGCCTATGCTGTGACTACCCACATGACCTTTTCCTTAAGAATTTTTAAGTTCAAAACACCCTGTGCAGTTGGCTACCTTCAGGCTCTGGGTTTGGCAGGCCCGCAGGCCTCCCCTGAGCTTGTCTACGTTCAAACCCTCTGAAGAACTGGATCACCTGACATCTGGCTGATGACCACTTTGAACTAGTCCAAATGCTGAGAATGCAGCACTGATTTTCCTCAGGAATGTGACTTTTTAAAAACTCTCAGCTTGGGGGGTGGGGAAAGGGCAGAGGGTGGGGTAGGAACCTGGTGGAGGGAGGAAGAAATGAGGAACCTTTGTAATAATATGAACAATAAAGATTGATTTTAAAAAAAACAAAACAAAAAAAAAAACTCTCAGCTTAAGATTGAAATAAATTGGCACAGTGACTGGTGGTTACCAGACTTAGTGTGGTGATCACATCATAAGGTACATAAACGTCCAATCACTATCGTATGCCAACCATACTTTAATTTAAATAGTATTAATAATAAAAAAGACACCTCTTAGTGTGGAACCCGCCGGTGATGTACCACACCTGAATGAGGGGGTGAGGATAAGAAAAGACAGACAAGAACAAGCTGGGAACAGGAGGACGGAGTCTGGGTTGACTGCCGTCCCGAGTTTATTTCTTAGCTCGTTTTTATACAGCAAAAGCGGGGAGGTACAAGGTATAAATATCTGCTGACCTTTAGGCTAAGTATTTACCCATCACCACATCTTTGTTTCTGTACGTAAGCAGAGAATTGTTTCCTAATCTACACGCAAGCAGCAGGTTAAACAATATGTTATTCTTTACAAAGATCAGTATTTTTACATTAGCAAACTGCAAAACAAGCTGAACAGCACGTTCTCATGAGAGCTATGACTTTTGTCCTACCAGAGCTGTGTCCACCAAGAGACCCCTGCTACCAGGGCAGCTCCGAGGAAAAAGTCCCCTGTTTTCAGGGCAGCTCCCAACATCTTAGCTGCTCTTCTTCGCAACACTATGGGTAGTGCCTAGTTTTGCTCCTGACCAGAATATCCTAAGATCCTTTAATAATTATTTGTCATTTATTTGCTGCCAAAGTCTCAGGATTGTGCTGGGTGTGTTCTGGGCTGCAAACACTGCACAGCTCCTCCGTTGCCTGGAGGCAGGATGCCTTGGGACAGAGGGAGGTAGAGTAGGTCACCCAACAATAGGTCGGTTGGAATTTGGAGGGAGGTGGCGAGTCATGCTCCGGCCAAGCGTGCCCAGGCGTTGCACCTGTGCCCCGAGTTCCTTGGAAAAGGCTAAAATAGTTTTTGTAACCTTTGGGTTGTCATTGTAACTGTCCTAACTCCCACACCTGTGGTCTGCACTGCAGTTCGGCCCTTATCGCGGTGAAGGGCTGTAACTGTAGTTGCTGGCCAGCTTAAGAAAGGCTCGTAAATTTTTATCTCTGTCTCTGGTGGTCGTCTCTTGGGGGTGGCCCCATAACAGGTGGGTATTTAGGATCCTTTATATTAACATAAGACCTCTACCTCCGTGATGTAATGCTTACGGAGCTTTTTTGGTGGTTGTTAGCATGTAATGCTCTTATCTGTAAAACAAGTCTCAATGCCAACTTCACAGGATTCATAAACATGGTTAATTATTGGAGGCACAGAAAGTGCTCACTAAGCCGCAATCATCCCCGATCTTCTAAAATGCTCAGTTTAACGGTAAAGGAGCCCGTCTCCAGAGAGCTCTCCAGACTCTGCACCGCTCAATGTGTGTCGCAGCATCAAACGCATCGCAGTGGTAAGCGCAGCAACCGCTCAGCGATGCGCGTTGAGCTGCGCGTGGTACTGCATCCCCGGGGTAAACCGCCAGGAGCTGGAGCCCGCGAGGTGGAAGAACTACAACTCCCATGGTGCTTCACGCGAGCTTAGGGCTAGTGTATATTTTATCGCCCCAGCCCTAGCCGCAAAACTCTCCAAGACTCCGCCCCAAGTGTTCTCCTCGCCTAGTCCGTCCCGGCTTCGGAAGACGCTATGTGACGTCACGAGGCCCTACGTTTGTGCGGGGAGCAGGAGTTGATGGACGGTCTCTGGCTGGGCTCGGGCGGGCCTGGGACCGCGGAAGAGGCTCTCGAGGGACCGCCGCCGCGATGCTCCACCAGGAGCCGGTCAGTCAGCTCCTGGATCTGTGAGTCCACTCGTCCCCGCCTCTTCCTCGCCCCGGCCCGGCCCCTGGCCCCGCCCGGCCCCTTCCCACCACCGGACCCACGCAGAAGCCCCGCTGGTGTGTCTCCGCCGGGTTCCTGACTTGTCTCCTCGTCGGGGGCAGTTGTGCCCAGCGGGCCGCTGCCCGGACGTCCCCAGGCGGGTGTCCGAATTCTCCGTCAGCTTTGACCGCTCCAGCCCCTGCCGGGAACCCTGTGCGTGCCGGGGCTGGGAGCGCTGGGAGAACCGCACCCCGGCCGGGGCCGCCCTCCGCCCTCCGCCCTCCGCCCTCCCGAGGCCGCCCGGTCCCTGTGCCGGGGACGCGGGGGGATCCTCGGGGCCGGAGGGCCCGCGCTGCGGTCCCCGGGGGCGTGGCAGGCTCTCTCTGCTCCGAGTTCTCTCTTAAAAAAAAAAAAAAAAAAAAATATATATATATATATATATATATATATATATATATATATATATATATATATATATATATATATTGGTTATGGTATCACATAATTGATCTCATCCCCCCATTCCCATCCCAAACCCCTCCCCACGTAAGCCCCCACCCCCTGTTGTCCATGACCCTGGTTAGGCCTAAATGCCGCGCCGAGTTGTGGATCTACAGAATTCTGTAGCAGCGCCTGGCCCCTGGGGTCGCAGTGAGCAGTGCATTTCACGCGGGTAAAGGCCTTAGAAGGATGCGTGGTGTCCGAAGACAGTTCAGAGAGCTTCACTGGAGAGGAGTATTTTATTTCAGAGGCTGGTGGTTGGGAAACCGGACACGGAGGAGTGCTGGTGCCCGGCGCTACCAGGGTCCAATGGGTAGAGACGAGGTTGAATCTTTGTGATACTTTTTATTACTCAGATGGCCAGCGGTCTGAGAGAGGGACAGGTGCCATACCCCTAATGACCTCTCTGACCTTTCGCTTCAAGCCAGCGCTTATATACGGATAGCAGGTGGGGACGAAGGTGGGGGTGGGTGGGGACTTAAAACTAGTGAGTCCCCTGGGTCTGCTTCCTATCACTGTCGCTGCAAAGATTAACCCCGGAACGCTGCCTGCCTTTAGACACATTCTGTCCTCCATCTGCGCTTAAAATGTATCATCTTTTCCGTGAGGAGCTCATCTGGGCTTCAAGGCTGCCTTATCTTTAGCCCTGTTCTTCTTGTAACGGGTCTAGTTTCCCAGGGTCTGTAAGAAAAATGTATTTTCTGTGTGAATAGCTGTTCTATTTCTATTAAATGCACCTCATCCTGTTAGGATGGCTTATAAAGTGAGAGGATTGGTTAAAAGTGCTTATCTTATACGATTTTAGGAAGACCTTTTAAGTTGATTATCAAAGGCATTTATAACAAACTAGAGGCCCAATGCACGAAATTCGTGCAAGAGTAGGCCTTTCTTCCCCAGCTGCTGGGACCACCCTCCCGGACCCAGGCTTCCCTCTGGCCCTGGCTTCGTCAGGAAGCACATCCGGAATGGTGTCCGGTCTAATGAGCATATTACCCTTTTATGATTATAGATAGATAATATATTGAATTTCACTTTGTTCATGAAATGAACTAGAATAAGTTCTGCTTGTGTGGTCTAACTGGTTTGCTCTGCTTGAGGGATTTTCAAGCCTGGTATCTATTTTATTTTATTTTTAAAAAATCCCTCCTTTTGGTCATTCAGCAAGCTAGGAGTGTCAACCAGAATAGTGTTACTCTTGCTAACCACTGTTGATGTAGGCATTGGGATGGATGGTCATACAATTATTGTGTTTCTTACAGTTGCCATGTCATCTGGACATGGCTGGTGGGATCATTGAATTCTTCAAGTTGTCTAATCCTGGTAGATAACATTGGATGTGAGTGGTTGTTGAAAGGCATTTACAACTCTTGAGAGGATGCAGTGCGCTAGGAAGGTTAATATGGTGATCCTGAGGAGAACAATAGTGAAGGATTGAAAAATTCCCTAGAGTAGAGATTCCCCAGGGCCAAAATGTAATCTGTTAAAAAAAGAAAAAAAAAATCAGTGAAAAAAGTGTTGCCTATTTGATGAAAGATTGTTACCTGATCTTTAAGACCTTTTAAGTTTTGGGTAACAATTCTTGATTTATTAACATAAAACTTTTTTTTTTTTTTTTTTTTTTTTTTTTTTACCAGTTACAGCACAAACACCTTATTGTTGGGTGGTTAGGATGTCTAAGGCTATGTAGTTATTTCATGTAACCCTGACTAAAGAGTTATAAATTCTTGCTGTAAGTGTCAAGATTTTGCAGAGGATAAGGTCTCCTCTAATGAGGCAGTCCTTTGTTGATGTCCTTTCCAGTAAACTCCTTCGGTTGTAATGTGTGCAGCACACTGCCTTCCTTTGGGAGGGAGTCACAGAAAGCTTTTTGGACCAGGTGGAAATAAGGCTTTCAGTACTGCATTAGTGCCTTACTGAATTGAACTGTGTCGTCATTGCTCAGGACAGGATAAACATGAGGATGTCGTCTTTCAGGAGGCAGTGTTAAAAATCACAGCAGTTAAAAGTCACTTTAAAAAAATATATATATCTTATTGATTTTGTACAGTGAGGAAGGTAGAGAGAGAGAGAGTTAGAAACATCGATGAGAGAGTCATCGATCAGCTGCCTCTTGCACACCCCCCACTGGGGATATGCCCGCAACCAAGGTACATGCCCTTGACCAGAATCGAACCTGGGACCTTTCAGTCCCCAAGCTGACGCTCTATCCATTGAGCCAAACCGGTTTCGGCAAAAGTCACTTTTTTAAGATGAAAAAAAACTTGTCCATCACTGAGCACAGACTAAGCTTTGGAATCTTTTGAAGCTTAAGCTGTAAATATTAGTATAAGATATACATTCTCTTCAACAGTGTTGTAATAGCTATGTATGGTGCCAGGGGAATACTGGAAATATTGGGGGGAACAGTTTGTAAAGTATATAATTATCTAACCACTTCGCTATACACTTGAAATCAATATAATATAATGTTAAATATAAACTGTAATTGAAAAATAAAATGTCCCGCCGGGACCGGTTTGGCTCAATGGATAGAGCGTCGGCTTGGGGACTGAGGGGTCCCGGGTTCGATTCCGGTCAAGGGCATGTACCTTGGTTGCGGGCATATCCCCAGTAGGGGGTGTGCAAGAGGCAGCTGATCGATGACTCTCTCTCATCGATGTTTCTAGCTCTCTATCTCTCTCCCTTCCTCTCTGTATAAAATCAATAAAAAAAAATTTAAAAAAAAAAATAATAAAAAAAATAAAAAAAATAAAAAAAAAAAATAAAATGTCCTTTATGAAAGGACTAAGGTGCTAATAGACAGCATTAAGTAAATGTTAAGACTCAGTACTGGTACAGTATAATTTACTATATCACGTTTGTATTTCAGATGCCTTTGGTGCTTCACGAAGAATATTTCCAGATATATCACAGACATTAAGTCTTTGCCTCCCAACATAAAAGATAGATTGATTAGAATGATGAGCCTGCAGGGACAGATAACAGATTCAAATATAAGTGAGGTAAGAGTATATACAACTATAAAGCAAGCATATTATATTTTACTGTTTGGATATGGTTTCAGATTTCTGAAGCAATGGTATATAGTAGGATTAATAATACTTTTAAGATATAATAAAGCATCAGGGTTCTTTTTTTCCTCCAGAAAACCAGAATGTTCGTGTGTAATAGTTCTAAAAAATCTCTCCTACCATTTTTCAATTACTTCCCTTATCTTTATAGTACCAGCACCTTGATCTCCATGTTTTTTAAAAGTTTTAAACTTTTTGATCAATTATACCATAATAAAGCTGGAAAGAGTAAAACATTAAATGCAGGGTAAATAAGTGGTCAAAAAAAAAAAAAATCCACACTAAGAAATATGTTTCATCGTGACTCTAGTACACAAACCACACTTACTGTGAGAGTACAGCAGGCCCTCCAATAACATCATTTTGTTATAATGTTGATGAGATTCCATAGGAACTTCACATTTATTTATATCAATTAGCCTATAAAATTGATTTCAGCGTATGTCACTTGGCTTAAAGTCACAGGACCTATCAATACTGTGTGCATTATACTTGAATATTCTCTATCTTATTCTGTTATCTCTTATTTCCTTTAAAAATGTTGACCACAGCCTACTAAATTAAATTTGTCCACTCATGGATAACAACCAGCAGTTAAAAGTCACTCTTCTAAACTCTTCTCATTTCTCTTCTGGATACCTCACTACTACTAATTTATACTCACTCCTGTCCCTACAACTAAGCTAAAATTGGCTATTCTTTAAGGTAGTAAATATAGTAAGGGTCTACAACCTGAATTAAAATTCTAGCATTGCCACTCTTTCTGGCGTTGAGCCTAGGGGTGTGTGTGTGTGTGTGTTTGGGTGGGGAAAGGGGTTCTTTTTAAGAGAACTTTACTTTGCCCAGCCGGCATGGCTCAGTGGTTGAGCATCAGCCTATGAACCAGGTTGTGAGCTTGATCCCGGGTGTGGGGCCTGCAGAAGGCAGCCAATCAATGATTCTCTCTCATCACTGATGTTTCTATCACTCTCTCCCTCGCTCTTCCTCTCTGAAATCAATAAAAATATATTTAAACAAAAAAGAGAACTTTATTATTATTTTAATTAGGGAAGAAAAGAGAAAGAGGAATTAATAATTTTTCAAAAAAGAGGGGGGAAAAAAGAGAAAGAGGAAAGAAGGCAGATAAGAATCAAAACAGGAAAGATACTGAAAAAAAGTTCCTCTCCCTTACCTTCCTTCCTCAGGACAGTTTTCCAAAGTCCCGTGTGTGTGTGTGTGTGTGTGTGTGTGTGTGTGTGGTGGGGGTAGGGAGCGGTAAGTGAGAGTTTCTGGGATTGTAACCATCGTCACTGTGTACAGAGACTAGAACTACAGTAGTTCCCCCCTATCTGTGGGGGATACATTCCAAAATTCCCAATGGATGCCTGAAACTGTGGCTAGTACTGAACCTTATATACATATACCATGTTTTGCCATATATGTATATACTTTTTCACATAAAGGGAGCACTTTATGGCTTCTCTTTGGCATATCTGATTGGCCAGCTACACTGTTCTTGGGTTTGGGGCATTATTAAGTAAAATGGGTTACTTGAACACAAGCACTGCAACACCATGGCAGTCATTTTCATAACTGAGATGGCTACCAAGTAACTAACTGGCAGGTAGTTGTACAGTGTGCATCCGCTCTGCAAAGGGATGAGTCACATCCCAGGCAGGATGAAGTGGGACAGTGCAGAGTTTCATCATGCTACTTAGGACAGTGCACAACTTAAAACTTACGAATTCTTTATTTCTGGAATTTTCCATTTAATATTTTTGGACCATGGAAGACCACGGGTACCTGCAACTATAGCAGGTGAAACCGCAGACAATGGGGTACTACTGTACAAATTGATGTCTTTACCACACATTCTCCCCCCAGCCTGTGATCAAAAGGAAGCAAACTCTGATGTTTGCACTCCAGCATACGACTGGGACTTCACATTGTAACTGTGCTTCAGTGTGTCTTAGTATTCCTTCTACATCAACCTGATGTACTTTAAGATATATATATTATTGATTTTTTTTTTACAGAGAGGAAGAGAGAGGGATAGAGAGTTAGAAACATCTATGAGAGAGAAACATCGATCAGCTGCCTCCTGCACACCCCCTATGAGGAATGTACCCAGAACCAAGGTAATGCCCTTGACCAGAATTGAACACTGAGCCAAACTGGTTTTGGCCTGATGTACTTTCAATGCTTTATTTTCTTTGTGTTCGCTTGCATTTGAACAGACATTTTCATGTTGTAGTCTACTTGACTCTATGGAGGTAGAATGACATCAAGTTCTTACCGTTGATGGTTCTATGGGATATATAAATTATATGTGGCTCTCAGATGAAACATTATGACTCTGCAGAAAACTGGTGAGATTCCTCTTCTGCACCATCCCCATTTTGTTCTATCCCTTTTATCTATATCTCAGTGACTTACATTTTTATGGCAGTCTTTATTATTCAGTTAAACTTAATTTCACCTGAATAAAAATGGGCTAAGGGGATGAATGAGAGAGAAAAAACAAAAGTAAGATTTTTCTTGGTGCTCTCCACTATTCCCCATCCTTGTAAGAGTCCTGCTCATGAAACTAGATCTAACTTTTGTTGCAAAGTTGCACACATCTTTGGATAGCTCTTTTTGAAATAGCTTCTGAATCTTTTTATAGTCCCTGGAGGGAAAAGGTCTTTGTTAACATGGCACTGTGAAAGAAAAAAACAGCAAAATGGGGTTGACATTGTCAAGAGAGCAATCTAAAATGGAGCCAGAGGCTTCCGGGAAGCTGAACTAACACAACTCCTCCATATGTAGTTGAACTTTTGAAGTGGGCTAAACCACAAATGGCTACATCCTGCTATAATTTCTGGAACTGAACTCCCTATTAAGAAATAAATTTTTCATTTAAGGAAAGACATCAGCAATTAATTATGCATAGCACAGTAAAAGCTCGCTTGCCAATACCAGTCACAGCTCTTTCAAAACAATTCGTGTAATCCCTCTGAAGTCCCCCTTTTTCAGTGTTTATAAATTCTCTCTGTTTCCCTCTTGGAACACAATTTGCTTTCTACCCAAATCTGTGTGTCTAGAATTGCAATTTCTAAGGACTCCAAATAAAGTTTCTGTTTGCTTTGCGGTTCTTGGTCAAAATTAATTGACATTACATGGTGTCAAAAAATGGGATTCAGAGTGACTGACCTCCTTTCCGTGCCTGCATGGATTTGAGTAAGGTACCAAAAAGAGCCACTGCACTCTGCCGTCATCCCAGTGGTTCCGGATCATTGTGGCAAGTCCTCCTGGATCAGAATCTCCCTCCTTGGTTGAGGTTCAGGCTCTATTTGGGCCTCCTCTCTTATGGGTCCCCATCCCCCCCCATGGGACATAAAGTGCCTATCTAGTGAGGGTTTATTTTTGAAAAAATGGGAAGTTCAACTGCTGAATATCTACCTTTTGGAACTTGTGCTGAAGCTGTGTATGAAATTACAGGCCCTCCGCATCTTGCAAAGTTCTGTCTTGCTGGACCATAATTACCTGGGATAAAAGTTGGGGCACTTTTATAATAAATCCCTAATTTAGTCTATCTGCATGGTAAATTGGGAAAGGCTCCAAAACTAAGCACCCTTATAGGACAGCAGTTTTCAACGAGTGCGCCACAAGAATTTTTAAAACATATAATACCTGACTAGTCAGGGGCCCTTACCACTTTTTCCTTGGATTACCAAATAAAAAGATGACAACAGCCAATACAACAATAGCTGTTGGGTATGAATGAATCAAAATTATACCTATTATTTTAGTCAGATTGGCAAAAAGTATATATTTTGGTGTGCTGCAGAATTTTAGTAATTAATATGTCTTCTGAGATGAAAAAGGTTGAAAATCGCTATTATAGGAAGTATATGTAATTGGCATTTTGAGATGCCAAGTGATTCAAAAATTGCTTCTCTTCAAAACACAAACTCTAAATCATCAATGCAAATTCTGAGTTATCTCAGAGGCTTACTAAGAGAAACTTAAATGTCCTTCTGATGTCTCATCTATACTGTCTGCTCCTCTGCTGCCTGCCTTACCTTCCTTTCCCTCTTTATCCTTCACTCGCTGATCTCCCTTTTCATATTGATGAAGCTGAGTCTCCAGTAGATGCACCCCCTGCTCCTACCACCCCACTTAAAGTTCAGCCATTGGATGGGTTGGCCCAGGATGACAGACCCTTATTTCTGAGAGATAGAGCGCTAGAAACGTCAATGACAAACATCGACCAGCTGCCTCTTGCACACCCCCTACCGGGGATGTGCCCGCAACCAACGTACATGCCCCTGACCAGAATCGAACCTGGGACTTTCAGTCTGTAGGCCGACACTCTACCACTGAGCCAAACCGGTTTCGGCTGGACCCTTATTTCTTATATCCCATGGACTATAGCTGAGCTCCATACCATTACTAAAATGTTTTCTTATCCCAAAGAAAGTCCCATTGGATTTGCTAGAGAATTTCTGCTTACTATCCAAACATATGAGCCAGGGTTCTGTGACTTATGCCAGCTTGTTCACATGCTAGTAGGAGAAGGACATGCTAGAGAATGGATAAACAAGGTGAATGAAAAGACCCTATGAATGACTTCTCCCATCTAAGATAAGAGGCCATGCATGAAGTCTCAAAGCTGGCTAAACAACTTCATGAAAAGATACCGATGCTTTTCATCGAGTTGCTGATTGAAAGAAAAATTTTAAATGTGTTAAAAAACACGAAGAAATTGTTTTTATAACTATGATAGATTTGAAAACGTTTAACTCAATACTCCAGCATAGATGAAGTCAGTGAAGATACCTCAGTGCTTTTATATTCATCTTTTGTTTTTGTTTTTTAATTTTTATTTTGGAGAGGGAGAGAGAGATAGAAACATTGATGATGAGAAAGAATCATTAATTTGCTGCCTCCTGCACACTACACACAGGACT